GATGCAAAATATTGCAAGGAAGACTATGATGAGAATTATTAGTTAACGGTAATTAAAAGCAATAGAGAAATAATTAAGAAATGCAGAATAAGTGATAAAGAACGGAAAATCTTCAGTGGTGGTTGACGAAAGTCCAAAATATTGAATAAGATAAGAAGTTATGTTAAATGACTGTTGGAAATGATATGTTAAAAAATTAATAAAAATGTGTATATATATAAAAAAAAAAAAAAAATAGAATTCCTAAGAGAAAGGCTTCTGGTCTTTCGATAAATGTTATTTTAAACATTTTCTTTAATTCATTATATATCATTTCCCAGAATTCCTTTATCATTTTACAGTTCCACCGCATGTGATAACAGGTGCCCTCCTTTTCCTTACATCTCCAACATACATTTGAGCTAGTCCTATACATTTTCACTTACTTAAAAAAGGTAAAGGACTCCTGAAAGTCCAGTCACGAACGACTCTGGGGTTGCGGCGCTCATCTCGCTTTACTGGCCAAGGGAGCCGGCATTTGTCCATAGACAGTTTTTCCAGGTCATGTGGCTAGCATGACTAAGCCACTTCTGGCGAACCAGAGCAGAGCACGGAAACGCCATTTACCTTCCCGCCAGAGCGGTACCTATTTATTTACTTGCACTTTGACGTGCTTTTGAACTGCTAGGTTGGCAGGAGCAGGGACCAAGCAACAGGAGCTCACCCCCGTCGCAGGGATTCAAACTACCGACCTTCCGATCGGCAAGCCCTAGGCTCAGTGGTAATACCACAGCCCCACCCACGTCCCACTTTTGCTTACTTACTGGGTGTTAAATACCAACAGTACATCATCTTCCTGTAGTTTTCTTTCAGCATGTAACACACTGTAAATTTTAAATCCTCTTTCGATAGTTTTTCCCACAGAGTGTTGAGGACCGAGACATTTGCAGGGAAACCAAAATGTTGTTTACAAAGCTATGGTACTACTAACCCTACTGTATGCTTGTGAAACATGGACCACTTATAAACGCCACCTCCAACTCCTCGAAAGATTCCATCAACGGTGTCTCCAAAATGTTTTGCACATCACTTGGGAAGACAGGAAAACTAATACCAGTGTATTGGAAGAAGCAAAGATCACCAGTGTGGAAGCAACAATTCTTCAACATCAACTTTGTTGGACTGGTCATGTTGTGCGGATGCCTGATGATCGTCTTCCAAAGCAACTACTCTATTCCCAACTTAAAAATGGAAAGTGTAATGCTGGTGGTCAATAAAAGAGGTTTAAAGACTCTCTCAAGGCAAATCTTTAAAAATGTAGTATAAACACTGACAACTGGGAAACACTGGCCTGCGAGCGCTCCAGTTGGAGAACAGCCTTTACCAAAGGTGTCATGGGCTTTGTAGACACTCGAACTCAGGAGAACACTCGAACACAAGGGAGAAACGTGCTAAGAGGAAGGCACGCTTGGCAAACCCTCACCGGGATCAACTCCTGCCCGTAAACCTGTGTCCCCACTGTGGAAGGACATGTAGATCCAGAACTGGCCTCCACAGTCATTTATGGACTCATTGTTAAAACCATGTTTATGGAAGACAATCTTACTTGGCTACGAGTGATTGCCAAAGAAGAAGATATCCAAAATCTCTCACCTATTGAATCATTATAGATTTAACTTCCTCGTCTTTAACTGGTCAAACCAACAAGTTGATTTGATGCGTTGATGTGGACGTGATTAAGCAGTTGAATGCGCATGTATTCTCCGCCTGTTTCCCAGCCATCCCCTCCACATGGCCCCAGGTGCTCGCAACCCACGCTACACCACTGACGGTGAGCATGTCAACCATAGAATCATAGAACTGCAGATTTGGAAGGGACCCTGAGGGTCACCTAGTCCAACCCCCTGCAATGCAGGAATTCTGCTCTCAGCCATCCCTGGGTGAGCTCAAACCACCAACCTCCTGGTTCACAGTCATCTCTATTGAGCCATTAAACCACTCTCCTTTTGTCATGCCCGAGAATTCACTGCAGATTTCCTTAAAACGAATTAAAAGCAAACCCTTATGAAATTCACACAGAACCACAGTCTCCATACGATTATCCAGGCTAGAATATTTGAAATTATGCAGATTCCCCACCAAACACCCATACCTAAAAATAGACCGAGGGGCACTAAAAAGTCAAATTCATGGGCTGTATTTTCCGCAGCAGGTTTCAAAGGGGGGCAGGAAGGTCTAGGGTCAAAGGTAGAATAAATTCGGTGAAAATTATAGAGCCCGCTGCCAAAGTCAGCAGCAGTCGAAAGCTAATGCAATCAGATCACCATTAAAACCTTTGCAAGCAATTAACTTTACTGCTGGGCTCCCTAGACATTTCCTTAACTAAATACACATTTGAGACTAATTAGAGAGGCCATCGCTGGGGGGAACGGTATTGATTCGCACAAGGCTGCACTCTGAAGGTCTAGGAATGCGAGCCTGGAACAGTTTGCAAACGCCAAGGCCATAGGAATAAGAATTATTATTATTATTAAATAAGATGGCTCACAAGCTATTGGTCCATTGAGCTCAGTATTGCCAACCCTGGCTGGCAGAAACTGTCCAAGGTCTCACATCTCCTGTCCTGATACCTGAGACAACTACAAGTGTGGCAACCGCTGTATTTTAGCTCATCAAATAGTGTCCAAAGGACGTGATATCTCAACTGCTGGATTCAAATATCAGTGTGAAATATCTGCTGCTGAAATATAGAATGATGGGCTCTCAAATATGGATAGCAAACATCCTGCGAATATTCTGCAAATGGCTAAATATTGGAGGCTATCCACCAAATAGTCAACAGCAGATGAGAATTTTGAGAGGCCCCTTTTGGAATACATTCGTTTCAGCCTTATATGAACTCCTCTAGGTGTGATCAACCCCAAACCTAGATACTTTGCATCTGCCAGCACCTCCTATGGTGCCTGCAAAAGGCCCCAGTAAACATCCACAATGCAGCAAGGAACTGTTTGCTTTTCCTGCTCAGTTCCTGTTTGCATTGGCTCAGCCCCCTTAAGCATTCCTTAGGGACACAGTGATCCCCACCTGGTGGTCAAATTCCCGCTGCCTGCATCCGCCTTTGGCAGGTCCAGAAGGACATTTTCCTCCAGAGCTCCTTCAAAGTCCCAGTGTGCTGGTCCCGGGGGGTTACCATGTGGCATGGTCCGAGACCAGTCCGAGGTTGAGGGTGTGGTATGGAGGCTATCTGTCAAGGCTGAAGCGGGGTCCAAGGCAAGGAGTCGGGTGTGGTCAGGAACTCTGGCAGAAGAGCAGGACAGGGTGCCGGCAGGAACAGGCTACCAACAGTGTTGCTCCCGCAATCTGGGACTGGGCTGGCTGGCCTTTATCTCCTCTGAGGCATAGGGCGGCCCCGGTCCACAGGTGACTCACCTCTCCTGGCCTGGAGGCGAGCACTCCTCCTGCGAGAACTTAGTTCCCTCCGCCTCTCTGCCCTGAGCCTCTGCAGCTCAGAAGAAGCTGGAGGGTTACCGGACCCAGAGGCAACCTCCGCTTCCTCTGACGGGGCTGAGAGTGGAGCACCTGCAGGCAATGGGTCCTCCATCACCCCCGGAGCCAGAGCAGATTCAGCTGGTGTCTGCTCCTGAGGATCCGGCACAGGTGAGGACCCTTCGGGTTCAAGTCCCAGCCCCGGCTCAGCTGGTTCTGGAGGCGGGGACTCCTGTGCAGGCTGGCATTCCTCAGGTTCAGCCTCTGAATCCGATTCCCAGGCCATCACGCCCAGAAGATAAAACACACAGGGGTCATAAGAACACAAGAGGAACCTATTGAATCTGGCCAGTGGCCCATCTAGTCCTGCATCCTGTTCTTAAACGGGCCAAGCAGGTGCCTGTGGAAAACCAGTAAGCAGGATTCGATCACAAGAACACCTTCTCCTCCGATGGTTTCCTGCAACTGGTCTTCAAAAGCATTGCTGCCTCTGACTGTGGGAGCAGAACAGAGCCGTCATGGCTAGTCGTCATCAATAATCCTCTCCTCCATGAATTTATCCAATCCTCTTTTAAAATCATCCAAGCTGGCAGCCGTCGCAGAAGCAAATTCCATAGTTTAAATATGTGCAGCATCAAGGCTCTGTTTTACTTCAGTCATGATTCATTGAACCATATAATTGAAATGGAAATACTTTATTGTCGCTTGCACAACTTGTATACAGTGAAATTACACGAGCACCCCCCACTCAGCTCTCTTCGTCTTAATTCCCCTCGTTTGCTGACGCACACCCACCAAACCCGAAAGTCAGTTGCCCTGTTGTTATCTTTTCCTTCAGCAGCCTAACAGCCCAGGGATAGAAGCTGTTCTTTACCCTGTTGGTGCGACTAATCCTGCTTCTATATCTTCTGCCCGAGGGCAGGAGATCAAGAAAGTGCTGGCCAGGGTGTGAATCATCCCTGAGAATTTTCCTCACTCACCTGAGGCAACGTTCTTCCGCTATTTCATCCAGTGGATTCATGGGACAGCCCATAATATCTTGTGCTGTATTCACCACCCTCTGTAGGCACTTCCTATCAGATGATGTCAAACCAGCGTACCACACCGTGATGCAGTAGGAAAGGACACTTTCTATTGTGGACCGGTAGAAGGAGATCATCAAATGTTGATTGACATCGTTCTTCCGCAATATTCTGAGGAGATGGAGTCTCTTTTGGGCTTTCTTACGTTTATTTTCCCAGTAAGGTCTTCACTGAGATAAACTCCCAGGAATTTAAAGGAAGAGACTCTTTCCACACAGCCCTCCCCGATGTACAGCGGGGCTAGTTCTCCTCTCTTCCTCCAAAAGTCCAACACCATCTCCTTTGTCTTGCTGATATTAAGGTGCAAGTTGTTCCCTAGGCACCATGTAGATATTTTTTGGACCTCCCCTCTATACGCTGATTCATCTCCATGAAATGATTCCATAATTTTAGAGTTGGAAGAGACCCTGACAATCATCTAGTCCAACTTCCCGCAATGCAGGAATATGCAGCTGTCCCACATGGGGCTTGAACCTACAACCTTGGCATTATAATCACCACACTCTAATAAACTGAGCTAAGTCAGATGATTCCATTGGCAGTTCTGGAATGTGAGTTTGATGGACAGCCTTTGCTCTCCCCACTGTCAGAATGCATTTAGGCACTAGGAGAGGATATATTATTTAGTTATTATCCTTCCTTGCTCACGTGAGTGAGATCAGCAGATTACTGTCCTTTTCAGCTGTAAACTTGAAAGCTAAGGTAAGGTTGATTTAACTTTCTAGAAAGAATAATCCAGGATGATTTAATGCTGATTTTTTTACCTCTTTTCTCCCTCTTAAAAACTACAATCACACAGACATTGGTTTGTGAAGAAGTAAAAGTAGCATTTACTTACATAATCTAGGTCTTGAAGTAGCAATTACAGTAGCAAAATGAGGGCAGGTTTCTAACTAGTATCTAAATTACAGAAGTTCAAAATGTAAGTTCATAAATGGTGTCTGAGCTGCAGAGCTCATGACGGCATGATGAAGAAAGAGAATGCTGCCCAGGCAGGAAGGAAGTATGTACAGCTTCCTGCCAAGGCGGACAAAGGAAGTGATCTCACAGAGTTCTCTCTAGCAAGTTTTATCAGAAAGCTCTGTGAGCCTCAGCCCTTTCATGTGTCTGTCTGGCAAAACATGAATCGTTGGTTTGACGGCAATAATATGCCGTTCCTACACCAGCATTCCTAATTGTAATAACTTCCCTCTAGCTGATTTCATATCATTTTGGGACCTATCCTAATACCAGCCAATTCTGAAACAATATTTTGACAATTATTCAATGGAGAACAGGCAGCCACTTGCCTACATACTCCCAAAATAACCTCATTGTGTCTTCCAAGAGAGAAAATAAAAATGGGGGACTGACAATTAGTATTAAACTTATTAAGTGCTGCCAGAATGTGTCTTTTCTTGCACTAGAACCACAGGAAGCTAACTCTACATGGGGCTGCCCTTAAGACTAACCCAGAAACTCCAGAGGGTGCAGAATGCCACGGTAAGACACCTTACGGGGTCCTCGCCGTGGGATCACATTCACCTGGTGCTCTACCAGCTGCACTGGCTCCAGGTGGAGTACAGGATCAGGTTAAAGGTGCTGGTTTTGACCTTTAAAGCCCTATGTGGCCTAGGACCCTCGTACCTACGGGACCGCCTCTCCTGGTATGTCCCACTGAGGACCTTACGGTCTTCAAACAAAAACATCTTGGAGGTCCCGGGCTACATGGAGGTTAGGCTGGCCTCAAACAGAGCCAGGGATTTTTTCAGCTGTGGCCCCAATCTGGTGGAACGCTCTGTCCCAAGAGACTAGGGCCCTGCGGGACTTGACATCTTTCCGCAGGGCCTGCAAGACAGAGCTGTTCCACCAGGCCTTTGGTCAGGGCACAGTCTGACCCCCTCCTTTGGTAATCCTCATATAACTCTAGCCCAATGGTTGCCATTAATTTGATTCTGAATTGATTTTAGAATGAACTGATTTTAGAATGCTGTGTTACTTTTATTGTTGTTAGCCGCTCTGAGCCTAGCTTCGGCTGGGGAGGGCGGGATATAAATATTATTATTATTATTATTATTATTATTATTATTATTAGCTGCGTCAGACCACTGGTCCATCTACCTCAATGTTCTCTACACTGACTGGCAGCTGCGCTCCTGGCTTACCTGGAGGTGCTGTTGAACTTCAGACCTTCTGAATTCAGAGCAGATGTTGTACCACTGAGCTATAACCATTCCCCATCTTGGAAGCATGGACCATAGATTAGTGGGTTTTTGAAAAAGCGGAAATCGCACTATTAAGAAAACCAACTTATTCCACAAGAGGGTCTTCTAAATCCCAAGCTGACAGATTTATAGAAAAACAGTGACTCTTTATTAACTTTGGGAATGAGAATTTTCACGATAACCTGCGATCACAGCTGCTTGGATGTTAATGGCCCAGAGATGGAAAGAAGACAAAGTCCCTACCAAAGAAGAATAGCAGATTAAGCTGATGGATTATGAAGAAATGGCCAAAATGACTGGAAGAATCAGAAATCAGGAAGACAAGGAATGGGGAAATTTTATAATTTATCTTAAAAACCATTGTAAATAGCTAAAATCATTAGTAGGATAAGAATAACACTCAAAGTTGAATTTTGGATATAGTGGAGATCTAAAAGATTTGGATGATTATAAAAGATGCAGGAGGAAATGGTTAACAAAAGGACCCACAAAGGGGAGGAGGGAAATTCAGGAGATTCTTTGGAATCTTGTTTTCATGTTGGTTGTTCGATGATTGACTGTAAAACTTTAAACTGAAAAACTAAACAATTCTTTAAATAATAATAATAAAAGAGAATTTTCATGATAACATTCAACCTTATGGTTTCCAGACAGTATAAAAGTATTCTTTGTTCTCAATCTTATGGAAATGATACGTGAATAAGCACTGTTTTATGCTGCATTAATAAATAAGTTTTTTAATATTAAAAAAATGTCATCCTATTCCCATGGAGGTGAAGACAGCTATCCTCGCAAGTCTGGCAGCTGTTTCACACATGCAAGATTGCTCACAAGGAGGAGCTGCTGCGTGTGTGTGAATCGACCCTTCTTCAAAATGTACAAAATGTGATTTGTGCGGACTCAAAGTTCCTCTGCTAGTATAACATCTGCACTCACTGTTTGTCACAAATCCACGATCAAAATCCTGCATCCGAAGAATCCAGCTTCTAGGAGTTCTGAACAAGAAGACTGAAGAAAATAAAAGAGGGTCGATTTGACTGACCCCAGAAACATAGTCAACATTCCAGTGCTATGATAGCAGCAAAATATCAGGACTGGAGTTTGGAGCAGGTCCTGAATCTGGGACTTGATCTCAAGCAGAGGTGTAGCTAGTGCGCCCCCAACAAACTCTGGGCAAAGGAGGGAACTGCAGGCAAAGAAACCAGGCTAGCAAGAAAGCCTCTAACAACCGGGAAAGGGCTGTAGCTCGGCTGTGGACACTTGTCTGAAAAAATGGAGAGGTGTTGCTGGTTAATGTAGACCAGAGACAGCAAGATGGTGTCCTTCAGATGTTGTTGGACTCCAAGTCCCATCAACACCAACAAACAAGGTCAGACACCAGGCATCATGGGAGTTGGAGTCTGAGAACATATTGAGGGCGCCGTGTTGACTATCCCTGAGGCAGACAATATTGAGCTAGCTAGGAGAATGGTCTAACTTGGCATTAAATAGATTCCTGTGTGCCGGTAGGCTGATTTGGTGAAAACGTCCATCTGCAATCTTGATTGCTAACATTATAGTTCTTTCCTTGGTTTTAATGACACCTTTTATGTCCTGGGTTGTCACACACACTCCTCCTCCTCCTCCTTCTTTGGCGATCCCTTGTAGCCGAGTAATATTTTCTTCCATAAACATGGTTTTAACAATGAGTCCGTAAGTGACTGTGGAGGCCAAATCTGGATCCACACATCCTTCCACAGTGGGGACATTGGTTTTTGGGCGGGAGTTGATCACGATGTGGATTTGCCAAGCGTGCCTTCCTCTTAGCACCTTTCTCCCTTGCATCCTGAGTTTGAGTGTCTTCAAAGCCCATAACACCTTTGGTAAAGGCTGTTCTCCAACTGGAGCGCTCACAGGCCAGTGTTTCCCAATTGTTGGTGTTTATACTACATTTTTTAAGATTTGCCTTAAGACAGTCTTTAAACCTGTTTTGTTGACCACCAGCATTACGCTTTCCATTTTTAAATTTGGAATAGAGTAGTTGCTTTGAAAGACGATCATCAGGCATCCGCACAACATGACCAGTCCAATGAAGGTGATGTTGAAGAATCCTTGCTTCCACACTGGTGATCTTTGCTTCTTCCAGTTCACTGGTATTAGTTCACCTGTCTTCCCAAGTGATGTATATAATTTTCGGAGACACCATTGATGGACTCTTTCGAGGAGTTGGAGATGGCGTTTATAAGTGGTCCATGTTTCACAAGCATACAGTAAGGTTGGTAGGACCATAGCTTTGCAAACAAGCATTTTGGTTTCCCTGCAAGTGTCCCGGTCCTCAAACATTCTGCACTTCAATCGGGAGAAAGCCGCACTCTCAGAGCTCAGGCAATGCTGGATTTTGGCATCAATGTCAGCCCTTGTTGTCACACACACACACACACACACAGAGAGAGAGAGAGAGAGAGAGAGAGAGAGAGAGAGAGTGTTACACAATTGGCCAAACCAATTATAAAAGAACAACTGTTTTTCAGAGCAGTGTTCCAGATTCCTGGTCCCTGGACTACGGGACGTCCCTTTTTAGACTCATAATGGGCCCCACAACTGGAGAATGCATTTTGTTTCCCCTTTAGTTGACACTAAAGTACAAAGGGCACTGCCCACTCGTAAAAGTTAACGAGGCGGGAAGTTCGTTGGAGAGCAAAGTTTTCCGACATTCTCAACGTCTGCTGGGCAAAAGCTCCCTCTTTCAGTTTAATAGGTAACAGGTGTGGGAAAGAGAAGTTTCAAGGGCGTAATGAGGAGAGACTTGAAATCTGGCAGAGATCAGAAAGGAGAACTTCTGCAGATGGAATTGGGCCCAGTGGATTCAAGAGGCTTCGAATGCCACAGGAAAGTTATAGAATAGTCAAGTTGGAATAATGTTCTTTCATATGTGGTGGACCTGTAAAAGAATAAAAGAGTATTGGGAAATAATTTATAATGAATTGGAAAAAAATGTTTAAACACACCTTTAAAAAACAACCAGAGTACTTTTTTGGGCCATAATTCAGACGGAAATTCCCAAAAAAGGTTTTTTATGTTTGCCACTACTGTGGCCCGTGTTTTGTTGGAAAATGAAAATGGAAAACAAGTGAGGTGCCAACCAAAGAAGAATGGCAACCTAAGCTGACAGAATATGCGCAGCTTGAAGACTTAACATATAGAATAAGAGAACAAGAACAACATACGTTTGGAGAAGATTGGGACATGCTTATTGAGTATGGGGGGAAATTGTATACACTTGAAAACATTGGCAGCATTAAGATAATTTCAACAGTGCATATAAGTTTTGATGGATGTAATACAGTAATGGAATCCTGGACGGTATACTCCTTGTAAAATATGCAGGGATTTATGACATGCACAATGAACCATGGAAAGAGAAGAAGGAGAGTCATTAATACTTTAAGGATGTTTAAAGGCGTACAGTGGAACCTCGGGTTGTGGATGTAATCCGTGGGGGAGGCACGTCTGCAATCAGCAGCGTTCATAATCTGCAGCGCTGCATCTGTGCGTGCACGTGATGCGATTTGGTGCTTCTGCACATGTGCAAAGTGCAGTTTAGGGCTTCTGCGCATGTGCGAGCGGTGAAACCCAGAAGTAACCCTTTCCGGTACTTCCGGGTTTCCTGCGGTCCGCAACCTGAAAACTATATATACACTGGTACCTCAGGTTACATACGCTTCAGGTTACATACGCTTCAGGTTACCGACTCCGCTAACCCAGAAATAGTACCTCGGGTTAAGAACTTTGCTTCAGGATGAGAACAGAAATCGTGCTCTGGCGGTGCGGCGGCAGCAGGAGGCCCCATTAGCTAAAGTGGTGTTTCAGGTTAAGAACAGTTTCAGGTTAAGAACAGACCTCCGGAACGAATTAAATACTTAACCCGAGGTACCACTGTATATAGTTCCAAGAGACTATGATCTACTCACACAATTAAAAACTGGCAGTGATCTACCGTTTTGGCGGGGGGAGCAGGGCAAGGGAATAAATGAAAAAAGTCACTCACCTAGAAATTGCTAATGAAACAGTAAGGCTCCAACTTCCATTCTAGCTATCTAGAGGACGGGGCGAGGGGCCGGGGCTGGACGGAGGAGTCAGCAATTGACCACGATCTACCAAAACCTCCCGGGGATCGACCAGTCGATCGTGATCAACCTGTTGGACATCCCTGTAATATAGAATGGTAGAGTTGAAAATGCACCTGCTGCAATAGGGGAGCAAGTCATTCAAGCCACAGCTTTTGAGGCTGTGAAGGTGGCTCACGACAATTTAGAATACGTAACTGAAAACAGTTGAGGGTAATGAAGGAAGTGGCTTGGCAGTAGAGGGCAAATGGCTCCCTCAACTGGCTGATAGTTAGGAGGGCGAAAGGGAGAGCTGAGGTGTCTCAGAGAGCAGGCTGCAGGCGGAAGCCAGAGAGAGATGCTTGCTTTCTGCTGGAAACCAAAGCTGTGGCTATGGGAGAAGCAAGACCTTCTTGAGATGTTACTGAAATGAGCCCCTCCATCTTAGGCTCAGGTTATGTTGTTGTTGTTGTTTAGTCGTTTAGTCATGTCCGACTCTTCGTGACCCCATGGACCAGAGCATGCCAGGCACTCCTGTCTTCCACTGCCTCCCACAGTTTGGTCAAACTCATGCTGGTAGCTTCAAGAACACTGTCCAACCATCTCGTCCTCTGTCGTCCCCTTGCGCCCTCCATCTTTCCCAGCATCAGGGTCTTTTCCAGGGAGTCTTCTCTTCACATGAGGTGGCCAAAGTATTGGAGCCTCAGCTTCAGGATCTCTCCTTCCAGTGAGCACTCAGGGCTGATTTCCTTAAGAACGGATAGGTTTGATCTTCTTGCAGTCCATGGGACTCTCCAGCGTCTCCTCCAGCACCATAATTCAAAAGCATCAATTCTTCGGCGATCAGCCTTCTTTATGGTCCAGCTCTCACTTCCATACATCACTACTGGGAAAACCATAGCTTTTACTATGTGGACCTTTGTTGGCAAGGTGCACCCAAGATGGACAGGTCATAGTGGAGAGTTTTGACCAAACGTGATCCACCTGGAGCAGGAACCGGCAAGCCACTCCAGTATCCCTGCCAAGAAAACTCCATGGACAAAGACAACAGGCTCAGGTTATATATGTGTGTAAATAAACCATATATCTTAAAGACACCACAGTCTCTGTTGTGCCTCATCCCGAGGAAACCAAACCCTGGATAAGTGCCTGAGATCCCTGGAATTTTGCACCACTAGGAGTGGTCTTCAAAAGTAAAATGAAGGTGTTGGATGCCCTCTCTTGTGATGAAGGAGCCACTAGGTCAGATGGCTTCAAAAGGAGGTGGGCCGTATCCAGATGCAGGGGGTATAGCAAGGGCTGTTAAACAGCATAGCTGAAACTGAGACTCCAAGTTCAGGTGCAGCCTACCACTGAATATCAGGTTGAGGGGCGCCATGTTTTGGTTTGCATCAAAATGTCTTGAGCTGACACCGTCTGGGGTCCTCACCAACTACATCACTGAACCTCGAAGCCCACCTCGTGCAAAAACACACCCCGCGTCGCCAATCTGATCTGGAGTTCGTTAGGAAAGAGAGTGTGGGTTGCACGAACCCTTTAACTGAAAGCAAAAGAATTTGAATAATAAGCTGAGAAGCAGTGATCGGTACGTTTGATGATCAAACGATGCACGGAGCGAAAGAAACGGCGACAAAAAAGCCCGTCTCGTTTGAGGAAAATTCTATTGAAGTTTATGTCGCACTGCGAGGCAGATGGTTAACGTTTTGCTAATTAAATGCTATGGAAGACCGAACTGGTTCCTATATATGAAAAACATTCTGTTTGCTAGAAATGGGTGGACGAGATACAAATTTGAACCAAGCGTTAGGTTTTCCATCTTCTGCCACCAATGGCAGTTTCTTCTAGAACTTGCAGGGCCAGCGCACCTCCTTGTCCCCGCAATAGAGACAGCCAGTGCCAGGCAGGATGCTGTATTTTTTGGTGGGGGTGCACTCTGATTGAAAATTTGAGGGGGCCCTCAGCCCCCCCCCCAGATGGAGCCTATCCTGCCGAGACCATATTGGGGATCCCTCCAGAAGGCACAAGGAAGGATGTATCTATCGCATCTCAGTTTGCAGATACAGTGGTACCTCAGGTTAAGTACTTAATTCGTTCCAGAGGTCCGTTCTTAACCTGAAACTGTTCTTAACCTGAAGCACCACTTTAGCTAATGGGGCCTCCTGCTGCCGCCGCGCGGCCGGAGCACGATTTCTGTTCTCATCCTGAAGCAAAGTTCTTAACCTGAAGCACTTCTGGGTTAGCAGAGTCTGTAACCTGAAGCGTATGTAACCTGAGGTACCACTGTATTTGTTTATAATCGTGCTCCATTCCACTTGCTGCAGATTAAAAAACAATACTCCCAAAAGATTGGCAATTGTATGTGTTTTCTTACTAATATCAGTAGTAAACCAATCTTCCTTTAGTCCTCCTTTGTGTGTGTGCGAAAAAATTTACGCATCACAGGCGAACTAATGCCAGTGTACTGGAAGAAGCAAAGATCACAGAAGAGAAGATATTACTTCTTAATTTTTTAAATTTTTTTTTCTCTTTTCAAAAAAAAAGTGTCCCCGGATTCTTTGAAAAAAAATCTGGTAACCTTAAATAAGAGGAAACTCAAACCAGAAAGTGTGTAAAGAATGGATAACATATAAAGAATCTGCAAATCTCCTGACAGTTCCAGATTGAATCTTGAATATTAAGGGAAATTATAAATGTAGAAAATTTTCTGGATATGTAACAGATATAACAGGAAATGCGTAAAGGTTAAGAATATGTAGAAAGCACAATGAGGTGAATCGGAAGTCAAAAGTGTGTGTGATGTTAGACAATGTGTTGTTAGTTAATGTTTAGTTGTCATTGAGGTATTGTCTGTTGTTATACGTAAATTTTTTTGCAATAAAGTTTTTTTAAAAATAGTAGTATCAAACTGCTGTGGAAATGTGGGGAACAGGATTTAAGATTTGTTGGGTGGGGAAAGAAACTGAGGGGCCCCCAAACTGACAGGTTTGGCTTGCTGTAACTTGGAGCTGATTCAGCTGTGATACTTGCATTGAGTGGGGTTGGACTAGATGACCGTTTGGTACCCCTCTCTCAACTCTGCAATTCTATGATTCTACAGTTCTAATGACATAAGTGTCAGGAGCTCGTCCTACACTCGAGTAGGACCCTGGCAGAGACACATGCCCGACTGGCATGTCTCTCCCTCCTGGTCGATCGTTCGGGAGCTTCAAAAGCTTTCTTCAGCCTGAACATCACAGCAACTGATGCCAACAGACACCGGCACACTTAGGGATCCGCAGAGTCTTTGCAGCTTGCGTGACAGACCTCAGCAACTCAGCATTTGGGCTAATCTACTTTATTTACATATAAATACACACGGAGCACTGTAACATGGCTCCCTCTCTCTCTAGCATCAGACAGCAAAGAGAAAGGACAAAGGACAATAGTCCCACTTCACGGAACACAGTAACACAAACATCCTGTCTCCATCACTTCCCACTCTGTGGAGTCAAAACACACACCGTCATGTGATAGACGACAATCCCATGACTGCAATCATGGAGCAGGAATTCTAACAATAAGAAGAACCCTGCTGGAATTCCCCAATCTAGAAGGCTCTTAAAGATGCTGGAACCCTGTCCTGTTTCCTCCTGGAATGCAGTTTCGAAAATGGATAGATTTCCTTCCAGGAAGCAGGGGGTTGTAGTTTCCCCTGCCTCCCAATTCAGTTCAGGAGACAGAGGAAAATCCACATCCCATGCTCACCATCAGGAAATTGTACTCCTGTGCACAATCAGCTAGGAGAAAGCATGCAAGATCTACCTCAAGCAAATCCTCCCTCCGGGGGGTCACCCCCTTTCTCTTCTCAAAAGAAAAAAGGTTTTTATTGCTGCTCGTTAAGTGGGCGGGTGAATAGGACTATGCGTCCCGTCCCCGTCCCCCCACTTGAAATAAATATCAAACAAACAGGTGAACTTTAAGTCTTGAGGAAGCTTGAGGGAGAAATAAGCAAGATTTCTGAGGCAAGCATGGGTGAGCTTGCTCATCTAGTCTGCGTTGTGATTCACGCCTAGGACTTTGATGAAAAGAGAAACACTTTTGATCAGTTTGGTCTCTCAGTTGTTTGAGATGAAAGGCTCTTTCTCTCATCAGACATGTAAATTTGGACCGAAAAGATTATATATACTGCTCAGTTCTAAGACAACACACACACACACATGTAAGAAGAAATACTGCAGACCTGATGCAGCTGTAAGTTTCAGGTAGCTAGTTATGGAAAATAATTGGTAGCCCCCATTTAATATCAGGCTATGCAGGTGGCCGGTTCAGTCCTGCATAATCAGGGATATCGGTCAAAATTTAGTTCAGTTATCGTTCAAAGCCAAATTTGCTTAATCTGTACTTCCTGGAACCATACAAATTTTGTGATGCAGTTCTCCATATTGAAGTCCACACCTCCTCACTGCTAGCAATCTGCCAATCAACCTTCTACATCTGCCTTAAAGGTAAAGGTAAAGGGACCCCTGACCATTAGGTCCAGTCGCAGATGACTCTGGGGTTGCGGCGCTCATCTCACTTTATTGGCTGAGGGAGCCGGCGTACAGGTTCCGGGTCATTTGGCCAGCACGACTAAGCCGCATCTGGCGAACCAGAGCAGCACACGGAAACACTGTTTACCTTCCTGCCAGAGCGGTATCTATTTATCTACTTGCACTTTGATGTGCTTTCGAACTGCTAGGTTGGCAGGAGCAGGGACCGAGCAACGGGAGCTCACTCCGTCGCGGGGATTCGAACCACCAACCTTCCGATCGGCAAATCCTAGGCTCTGTGGTTTAACCCACAGTGCCACCCATGTCCCTTTTACATCTGCCTTAGGCCAATCTATAAAAAAAACAGCACACAAGGAAAAGGAGAAAGGGAGGGAAGAGGAAAATAAAAGCACCCTTTTCTAAACAGCTGTTCTTCTAATGACAAGTCATTAGAGATGATTGATGGAATTGGTCTTTCAGCAAAGCTGATGGAACGAGGCTTCTGCTCCCCATCTCTATCCTGTTCAATGCAGGATTTGCAACTATAGCTTCCCTTCCAGAAGGCCAGCCCTCCTCTGCTTAAATACCTCTGGTAAAGGAGAGTCCTGCTGAAGCAGTCTGTCCCATTGCTGAACAGCTTTTGCTACTAGGCTCTCACCTAAAGCACAGCCCAACTTTGGGCTATGTATTCTTGTGTATGTGATAATAATGGGTTTAACCGAAATTCCATGTCAGGGGACAACCAGTGAAACTCCTTAAAACAATTTCAGTGATTCAGCTGGCATATGCTGGAAAAAAATGTTCTCTTTGAGCAGACCTGTTGGTCTTGTTCTGCCCTCTAGAACAAAGGTAGGCAACCTCAGGCCCGGGGGCCGGATGCGGCCCAATCGCCTTCTCAATCCGGCCCGCGGACGGTCGGGGAATCAGCGTGTTTTTACATGAATAGAATGTGTCCTTTTATTTAAAATGCATCTCTGGGTTATTTATGGGGCCTGCCTGGTGTTTTTACATGAATAGAATGGGTGCTTTTATATAAAGTGCATCTCTGGGTTATTTGTGGGTCCTGCCTGGTGTTTTTACATGAGTAGAATGTGTCCTTTTATTTAAAGTGCATCTCTGGGTTATTTGTGGGGCCTGCCTGGTGTTTTCACACGAGTGGTGTTATGTACTGAAGTTCTCACCCTGGGCCAGCAGGGGGATACTGTAGATAGTTTTCACTCAGGTCCACATATGCAAATAGGGGATTGAAAGTGACGTTCAGTGATGGGATAGTTACAGAAAGTGGTTACAGTTGCGTTCTAGTGAAGCTCTATATAAGCAGGCTGGCTGAACCCTTCAGTTCAGTTCTGTTCTGGCCTGAGAATAAACAAGAGCTGTTTGAAGAATCACTGTCGTCTGATATGTTCACCCACAACTTACCAAGTAGAATGTGTCCTTTTATATAAAATGCATCTCTGGGTTATTTGTGGGGCATAGGAAATCATTCATATATATTTTTTCTTCAAAATATAGTCCGGCCCACCACATGGTCTGAGGGACGGTGGACCGGCCCACGGCTGAAAAAGGTTACTGACCCCTGCTCTAGAGCAACAGAGAACAAGTCTGTGCCTGGGCAGGGGCAAAGGAAGGGGGGTGCGTTGGGTGCGGTCCGCCCCCAGGTGTTACCGCTGAGGGGGGTGACAAAATGCCAGGCGGCACTCACCGCGGGGCCTGCAGCGCACCCGAGCCACACATCTCTCCTGGGAGAGACGCGTAGGCTTGGGCACACACAAGCTCCACGCTGCCCAAACGGTCTGCCTGCTGCCAAGCCCCCAGAGCTGTAGGGCGGCTGAGTAGGAGGAAGCAGGCGGACCCCAGAGGGCCCGTGGTGTGCCCTGCCCCTATGGGCGGCTTGCCCTGCTCTCGCCCCACCCTTATGGGCGGCTTGCCCATATGCAGCCGGACCTACGGGACCGCCTCTCCTGGTATGCCCCGCGGAGGACCTTAAGGCCCATAAATAACAACACTTTGGAGGTCCCGAGCCCCAAGGTGGTTAGATTGCTCTCAACTAGGGCCAGGGCCTTTTCAGTACTGGCCCCGACTTGGTGGAACGCTCTGTCACAAGAGGCTAGGGCCCTGCGGGACTTGATGTCTTTCCGCAGGGCCTGCAAGACAGAGCTGTTCCACCTGGCCTTTGGTTTGGACTCAGTCTGACCCTTCTGTTTCCCTCCCCTTATGGTTTTGATGAGGCTGCATTTGAAATTGCATTTTAACCTGTATTTTAAATTGGGTTTCCCCCCCTTCCTATTATGTTTTTACTGTAATTTTAATGTTGTTAGCCGCCCTGAGCCTGGCTCTGGCTGGGGAGGGTGGGGTATAAATAATTTTTTTTATTATTATTATTGCTCCTCCCCTGGGCGCGTCGCCCCAGGCACCCGAGTGGCTTCCTCCGCCGCTGTGCCTGTGCAAGGATTTGAACCCAGGATCTCAGTCAAGCACTCTAACCACTAGCCTATACTGCCCGTCACACCAGAGGACACATCTAACCAGGGCTTACCAGCTCACATTTGACATCTGGTATGCCATACGAGCTTCAAATGGAAATTAGTACAGAATCAAGCCGCAGCCAGAAGACAGTATTTGCAGAGGCTGGGAGAGAAGGGAATCTAATTTACGAGTGTTCCATTTCCACACTTGGGTGCATATTAATGAAGCTCAGTCAAGATACTGTTACTGGCGATAGCTTCTTGCTCCTGCCTCTGAAAAGTAGCTGGGCAGTATTTCACTGTGACGAGAGATTCACATGCAACTTTAAAAATAAAAATAAAACTGTGTTTATTGATTTCTGTAAACACAGCTGCAAAAAGTCGATAGGATGTATAGCTCAGTAAAAAGAGAATAAAAGGCTCCATAACTATAACTGTGACTGAGTGAAGAGGCTGTTCACAAGATCTTCAGAATTAAGAAATAAATATGCGGTGACAGGTCAGAGCTTACACCAGAGGCAAATTTCTCCTACCCAACCCCGAGTTTGTGAGACTCATCTGATGTCAGCAAGAAATCGCTGCAGTATCACGCAATTCTCATGCAACAAGGATTCAGCAGGGACCGCCTTTTGTGTTACTTCTAAAACATTTGCTGAACACTCTTCAGGGCTACCTTCTTCTTCTTCTTCTTCTTCTTCTTCTTCTTCTTCTTCTTCTATCACTCGTAGCCAAGTAAGATTGTCTTCCATAAACACGGTTTTAACAATGAGTCCCTAAGTGACTGGAGGCCAATTCTGGATCCACATGTCCTTCCACAGTGAGGACATTGGTTTCCAGGCGGGAGTTGATCACAGTGAGGGTTTGCCAAGCGTGCCTCCCTCTTAGCACGTTTCTACCTTGCGTCCTGAGTTTGAGTGTCTTCAAAGCCCATGACACCTTTGGTAAAGGCTGTTCTCCAATTGGAGCGCTCGCAGGCCAGTGTTTCCCAGTTGTTGGTGTTTATACTACATTTTTGGAAATTTGCCTTGAGAGAGTGTTTGAACCTCTTTTGTTGACCACCAGCATTACACTTTCCATTTTTAAGTTTGGAATAGAGTAGTTGCTTTGGAAGACGATCATCAGGCATCCGCACAACATGACCAGTCCAGCGAAGTTGATGTTGAAGAATCATTGCTTCAACACTGGTGATCTTTGCTTCTTCCAGTACACTGGTATCAGTTCCCTTGCCTTCCCAAGTGATGCGTAAAAATTTTCGGAGACATTGTTGATGGAATCTTTCGAGGAGTTGGAGATGGCGTTTATAAGTGGTCCATGTTTCACAAGCATATGGTAAGGTTGGTAGTACCATAGCTTTGCAAACAAGCATTTTGGTTTCCCTGCGAATGTCCCGGTCCTCAAACACTCTGCACTTCAGTCGGGAGAAAGCCGCACTCGCATAGCTCAGGCAATGCTGGATTTTGGCATCAATGTCAGCCCTTGTGTTCACACACAAACGCAGACAGAGACAGTCTTTAAACCTCTTTTGTTGACCACCAGCATTACACTTTCCATTTTTAAGTTCGGAATACAGTAGTTGCTTTGGAAGACGATCGTCAGGCTTATGCAGACAGTGGAAGAAAGAGAGACAATTCTTTCCAGTTCATTGGTGATCTGGGATTCGGGAGCTGCAGTGATTTGGGAGCTGAACATCAAATGAAGCTGAATATTGGAAAATTCAGGACAGATGAAAGAAAGTCATTATTCACACAACGCCTAGTCAAATTATGGAACTTGCTCCCCCAGGAGGCCACCAGCCTAGATGGCTTTAAAGGAGGATTAGACGAATTCAGGGAGGAGACGGCTATTGATGACTTACTAGCCAGGATAGCTAGGCTTCATGTCCCCCATTCATGTCCACAGAATCACAGAACTGAAAAGTCCAACCCCCTGCAATGTTGATTAGAGCCTAATGCTCCACATTCTCTCTAGCACTTTGGTGAATAGGCGGTTAAACCATTCTGCAATATTTTATTCTGCAGCCTAGACACCAGACCTTGTTCTATCTTATTGGCAGAATCCAGCAATAATTCAAAAGGGGTAAGATCAAAAAAACGAAGATCACGGCCACTGGTCCCATCACCTCCTGGCAAATAGAAGGGGAAGAAATGGAGGCAGTGAGAGATTTTACTTTCTTGGGTTCCATGATCACTGCAGATGGTGACAGCAGCCACGAAATTAAAAGACGCCTGCTTCTTGGGAGAAAAGCAATGACAAACCTAGACAGCATCTTAAAAAGCAGAGACATCACCTTGCCAACAAAGGTCCGTATAGTAAAAGCATGGTTTTCCCAGTAGTGATGTATGGAAGTGAGAGCTGGACCGTAAAGAAGGCTGATCGCTGAAGAATTGATGCTTTTGAATTATGGTGCTGGAGGAGACTCTTGAGAGTCCCATGGACTGCAAGAAAAACAAACCTATCCATTCTGAAGTAAATCAGCCCTGAGTGCTCACTGGAAGGACAGATCCTGAAGCTGAGGCTCCAATACTTTGGCCACCTCATGAGAAGAGAAAACTCCCTGGAAAAGTCCCTGATGTTGGGAAAGATGGAGGGCACAAGGAGAAGGGGGCGACAGAGGATGAGATGGTTGGACAGTGTTCTCGAAGCTACCAGCATGAGTTTGACCAAACTGCGGGAGGCAGTGGAAGACAGGAGTGCCTGGCGTGCTCTGGTCCAGGGGGTCACGGAGAGTCAGACACGACTAAACGACTAAACAACAACAAAAGATCTCTCAGTTCCAGTTCCATGATGTGGGTTGGTTGTACTGTATACATTTTCTAATTTGGTACCATGTCAACCAAAGGATGGTATGTTCCTTAAATTGGGATTTCCACAAACCCCTCGGGAGTAGTTGGGGTTGAAGAAGGAAGCCGTGGAGTTTATTTAAATCTCTGCAGGACTGTTCTTACACTCTCGGGACATAAACCGGACTTCACGTTTCAGAGCTGTGAAATTCTTTTCAAAACTAACTTTTTCCTCATAAAGCTCCCACATTTCTTCTGCCAGTTCATGCTCTCAGGTTTAATGCTGACAAGTTTAATGCTCTCAGAGAAGCTGCATTGTGCTGAAGCTTTTTGTGGAACAGAATAAAATATTCTCAAATAACCCTTATTATTTTCAGCAAAGCTTCAGCGCCATAAATAACATATGAGCCGGAAAGAGCAAGGGATAGATGGGGCAGAGGAACAATGAGTGCTGAGTCTTTAATGATCTTAAGAGAGTCTGTGGATACAGTTTCACCAGTGAAGCTGTTGAAATCTGGAATAAATATCTGAACAATGTTTGCAGAAATGGTGGGGGGTTGAGCAAACTTTGTTCTCCTAACACCCATCTTTAATATTTGGGGCCACTGACAACATTTTGGACCTTTGTTTGACATTTTGTTGTTGTTGTTGTTTAGTCGTGTCCGACTCTTCGTGACCCCCTGGACCAGAGCATGCCAGGCCCTCCTGTCTTCCACTGCCTCCCTCAGTTTGGTCAAACTCATGCTAGTAGCTTCGAGAACACTGTCCAACTACCTCATCCTCTGTCGTCCCCTTCTCCTTGCGCCCTCCATCTTATCCAACATCAGGGTCTTTCCCAGGGAGTCTTCTCTTCTCATGAGGTGGCCAAAGTATTGGAATCTCAGCTTCAGGATCTGTCCTTCCAGTGAGCACTCAGGGCTGATTTCCTTCAGAATGGATAGGTTTGATCTTCTTGCAGTCCATGGGACTCTCAAGAGTCTCCTCCAGCACCATAATTCAAAAGCATCAATTCTTCGGCGATCAGCCTCTTTATGGTCCAGCTCTCACTTCCATACATTGTTTGACATTAGCATCCATCATAGTGTAACTGACAAACCATTCCTAACACAATACGAACACAGAGCTGGGGTCCAGCCTGCTCTGTCTGTGTTGATGGGAAGAAATCAGAGAGAGAGAGAGAGAGAGAGAGAGAGAGAGAGAGAGGATATGACTGTCTCTCCCACTTGTGGAATTCCTTCTCCGGCTCAAGATTTTCATCCATTGGGTTTCAGTACCGCTCCGGAAATAAACAGAGGCGTCTGGACCATGGGAAATCAGGGCAGAATCACCAGGTTTTGCTCCTTTGAGTTTGAGCAGAGGAGCAGAGGAATGATTTTATACCGATCCTGCCAAACTCCAGAGGTTCACCGCCGAAGCTGGAATGTCCAATTCCATTCCAGGTGATGGGAATATTGGTGGGTCTTCAGGGCCTGGGAAACTATTTCTCTTTGGAAGACAGAGAACGAGGTGTGGTGAATCCTGGATCTATATACAATGCACCCTGCGTCCTGAAGCCAAGCTTAACTTTAGCTCTCGAGTGTCTTATTGTGTGGATTGGCACAAGCATATTCTTCATGTTCTTTCATCCATTCGTGACCTCAGGAGCTTTATTGGCCAAAGCTTAGACTTAATTTGGAGACTGCGGGAGCTTTTTCTTAAAAGAAAAACATTCATTTTTCAACAGGTTGGAAATCAATTTTTTATTAAACTGCAAACACACACACCCTCTTCCATTCTTTCGATCTGTTGTTTCTGTTAAATAGCAATCAAAAAATTTGGCAGCAGAATGAACAGGGAAAGCGAGTTGAGAGAACGGCTGATTGTGTTGTTTTGTACAGACGACATGGCTAATCCAGTCGCCTGTGCTGTTTCTTAAATGTGCTCCCTCATCGGCTACATGTCCAATAACTCCATCAGCCTAGAAGCAGGGACTGCCTGCCTTACCTTTGGGCAAAATGAGGTGGCTGCCTCGAGCGGCAGATTTGGATTGTCAGGAAAGAGAAGCAAATGGTTCGTTATTTGATTTATAATCCTGGTATTTTCGCTGCCAGAGAGGGAGAGAGGTGTAAAAATAAATTGACTGGCTCTGGGTCTTGTGTTCTTTGAATAAATGTATGTGCATTCAGGAAGGGATGAATAAATCATTCAAGTTTTGGTTTCTTGCACTTTTCCATTCTTGAGCTCAGTTTGCAACATTCATACCTCACTTAACAACTACTTTTTAAAATAACAACATCAACAACTGTTTATCAGCATTTTACCGATCATTACTCCTCATGCAAATGCTTTTGTATGAGATTTTGCTCACTGTATCCATTTTCAGAAATGATTTCCCCTAATATGCATGTTTTGTTTGGGAGGTTATTTTCATGAATGTGTGCATTTTATATTTATTTTTTTTAAAGCATCTCGCCAGGCAACATGATTATGGATCATAAGAGAACCTAATGAGGATTGTTTTGTGGAAGAATGGAAGCCATTTTCAGAATATTTATAGAAATATTACAGTATGATGAATTTGCGAGCATGATTCCAACTGTGAGCAAGAGAAGAAAATAGATTATTGTGCAGTAGTTACAATATAAGAAAAGAGGAGATAGGGTGCAGCAAGGAGGATAAATTAAAAACACCATGGAAAATGGGAGGTCAAGTAAAAAACTAAACGAAGGCTGCCACAGTGGTGCAGAAAGCAAGGTTCAAACCTTCACTCATGGTGATGTTACGTTATTGCTTTTAACTACCGTATTTTTTGCTCTATAAGACTCACTTTTTCCCTCCTAAAAAGTAAGGGGAAATGTGTGTGCGTCTTATGGAGCGAATGCAGGCTGCACAGCTATCCCAGAAGCCAGAACAGCAAGAGGGATTGCTGCTTCCACTGCGCAGCGATCAGTCTTGCTGTTCTGGCTTCTGAGATTCAGAATATATGTTTTTCTTGTTTTCCTCCTCCAAAAACTAGGTGTGTCTTGTGGTCTGGTGCGTCTTATAGAGCGAAAAATACGGTATGTGATCCCTGATTGGCTGGACATGTTCAAGAAAGAAGCAAGTCCCAAGGGAAGAGAAAATATCTTGTGGTATTGTGCTGTTGGCAAACCACACTCTCTACAGTCCAAGATTATTTTTCATGAACTGGCAAAAAAATTGCATAATGTTTCCCCCGTGCCCATCCGACTACTACTACTAATGTATGATTTATACCCTGCCCATCTGGCTGGGCGTCCCAGCCACTCTGGGCAGCTTCCAGAGTGGAGGCCGTTTAGGGCTTTAAAGGTCAGCACCAACACTTTGAATTGTGCTTGGAAACGTACTGGGAGCCAGTGTAGGCCTTTCAAGACCAGTGTTATGTGGTCTCGGCGGCCGCTCCCAGTCACCAGTCTAGCTGCCGCATTCTGGATTAATTGCAGTTTCCGGGTCACCTTCAAAGGTAGCCCCACGTAGAGCGCATTGCAGTAGTCTAAGCAGGAGATAACTAGAGCATGCACCACTCTGGCAAGACAGTCTGCGGGCACGGAGGGTCTCATCCTGTGTACCAGATGGAGCTGGTAAACAGCTGCCCTGGACACAGAATTGACCTGTGCCTCCATGGACAACTGCAAGTCCAAAATGACTCCCAGGCTGCGCACCTGGTCCTTCAGGGGCACAGTTACCCCATTCAGGACCAAGGAGTCCTCCACACCAGCCTGCCTCCTGTCCCCCCAAAAGAGTACAGTGGTTCCTCGGGTTACATACACTTCAGGTTACAGACTCTGCTAACCCAGAAATATTACCTCAGGTTAAGAACTTTGCTTCAGGATGAGAACAGAAATCATGCTCCGGCGGCGCGACAGCAGCAGGAGGCCCCATTAGCTAAAGTGGTGCTTCAGGTTAAGAACAGTTTCAGGTTAAGAATGGACCTCCGGAACGAATTAAGTTCTTAAGCCGAGGTACCACTGTACTTCTATCTTGCTAGGATTCAACCTCAATCTGTTAGCCGCCATCCATCCTCCATCCGCCTCCAGGCACTCACAGAGGACCTTCACCGCCTTCACTGGTTCTGATTTGAAAGAGAGGCAGAGCTGCAGGTGTCTCTTTTTGCATTCAGATCTTGCTCAGTGGGTTGCTGCCTCCTTGTCCACCGGCATGTATCAATAAAGCCGTATTTATAACACTTCGCACATCACAATGCGCACTGCCAAGAGGAAAAAGTGAAGCTGGTTTATGTCTTCAGACCTGGAGGAGCACTGCTTTCATTCCTTTCCTTTCAGATCCATCACTTTAAAAGCTTCCTGCAGGTAACAGGAGGGAGATGAGAGAGTGGGTGTTGAAACAAGCGCCTTTGGTCTAGCCAATTAGTGTGCTTTCCCTGTCATTACCCTAATTGTTTGTATTTTGTTCCTCATCACTGCTTGAGAGAAACCCATCAGGGAACTACTTATGCTAAGCCCACGGGACAAAAGGGACAAAAGTCTGTTATCATGCAGCTCTCATCCACTTAAGAGAGCTGGATGAAATAGCGTGTTTCTAAACAGCCTCCGTCCTGTATACCTGAAGGAACGTCTCTACCGCCAAGGTCCAGCTCCGAGGGGCTTCTGACGGTTCCCTCCCTGCGAGAAGCAAAGTTGCAGGGAACCAGGCAGAGGGTCTTCTTGGTAGTGGCGCCTGCCCTGTGGAATGCCCTCCCATCAGATGTCAAGGAAATGACATTTAGAAGACACCTGAAGGCAGCCCTGTTCAGGGAAGTTTTTAATGGCTGGTGTTTTAATGTGTTTTTATTCTATGTTGGAAGCCGCCCAGAGTGGCTGGGAAACCAAGCCAGATGGGCAGGGTATGTGTGTATAAATAAATAAATAAATATATAAATAAATAAATAAATATGAACCAGAGGCATTGGCTTGGGCCTAAGACTGAGTGTGGGGCATTGTTGCATCACATGCTTGATGTCATGCGCACATTGCACATATATGATATCAGATGCATGACACATACGCATCATCAGGAGGAAGATAAGTGCCTAGCCCAGCGCCTAATGGTCAGGGGTCCCTTTACCTTTACCTCTTAAAAAGGTAAAAGTAAAGGACCCCTGACAGTTAAGTCCAGTCGCAGACGACTCTGGGGTTGCGGCGCTCATCTCGCTTTACTGGCCGACGGAGCCAGTGTTTGTCCGCAGACAGTTTTTCTGGGTCACGTGGCCAGCATGACTAAGCCGCTTCTGGCGAAACCAGCGCAGCACATGGAAACGCCGTTTACCTTCCCGCCACAGCGGTACCTATTTATCTACATGCACTTTGATGTGCTTTTGAACTGCTAGGTTGGCAGGAGCAGGGACCGAGCAACGGGAGCTCACCCCGTTGCGGGGATTCGAACCACTGACCTTCCGATCGGCAAGCCCAAGGCTCAGTGATTTAGACCACAGCACCACCCGCGTCCTGACCACGTATCTCTTACTCTCATCCAAAAAGTACCAAATGCTCAACCTTTCTTCACAAGGGACTCATCTCCTTGAACATTTGATTGCTCTTTTTTTGAACCTTTTCTCACTCCACAATATCCTTTTTGCAGTGAGGCAGCCAGAACGGTACGCAGTCTTCCAAACGCTGTTGCACCCTAGATTTGTATATCTGCATTATGATATTGCCAGCGTTATTCTAAATTTCTTTCCTAAAGACTGCGGGCATGAAATATTCCCTTTTCATGGCGTCAACGCCTTCATTCAGCTATCCACTCATTCCTGGTCAGTGGCCATTGCTTCAGACCCCATAAGAATGAATGTGAACTTACTGGGAGCTGCATTTTTCCTAAACAATCTAGCATTAGGGGTTAGCAATGGGTTGGTCAAGTCTGCTGGTGATACTAAATAGTTCAGGGTTGCTAAAAGGAACAGAGATTGCAAAGAGCTCCAAAAGGACCTCTCCAAACTGCATGAAATGTCAAGAGATGCCTCAATCAGAGCGAGTGAGTCTTGAGGGCCGGATAGAAAAGCATGAAGGGGTGAAATATACTCAGAGTCGAGAGTGGATTTCATGCTCTTTATTCAGCTCATAGTGGGAGGAAGAATGGAAGTTTCCCCAAAGTATCTGCTTTATATACATTATTTACACAATCGGCTGCACGTGATTGGCTAATTCCGGAATTCTCCTGTAGCCCAATCAGGTTGTGGATTCACTTCCACCTGGAGCTGGATTGGGTGGCTCCTGCAGACCAATCATACTGCTGCATTGTTCTAGGACCAATCAGACTGCTGCATTCTGAATCCTATTGTTCTGGGACCAATCAGACTGCTGCATTTTGGATCCTATTGTTCTAGGACCAATCAGACTGCTGCATTTTGGATCCTATTCAACTCAGTACATAACAAAGGGCCACATTTAACTCTCAGCTCTGAGCTTCCCCACTTCTGGCCCGGACACAGAAGATGTCAGCTTCTCAAACCTGCCTGTTGCTTTTGGTGACTTCAGTCTTTGCTAAATGTTGGCAAGGGAGTTGATTCCGAGTGGGAAAACGTAATTAAGGACATCAGAAGCAAGCCTGCAATCTGAGCTGGCCGATAGCTTAAAGGCAAGGCTTAACACCGCCTGACCTTGGAAATTTTCCAGCTCATGTTGGTTAAGAAGGGAGGGGGGACCTAGGATGAAAGCTATTTTTGGTGGCACTTGTGGTTCAGGCTTTCATAAGTCCAAAAGCAGGCTGTCTAAAGCATGGCTTGGGACTGAAGTGAATTTCTTCATTCTCTTGGTTATAGAGAAAGCAGCTATCCTGCTCCCCTAGCACCAAAGCCTGTGGTCACCCAATGGTCACCAAAAATAAGAGTCAGGACAGTCGAAAAGCACACCGTATAATTATGAAATTCATTGCCACGGGATGTAGTGATGGCCCCAGGGGTGCCCCTTGGGACTGGTAGGGTGGGAGGTAGGGAGGTCAACAGTAGGTGGCGCCAGAGCTAATGGTCAGTGGAGCCAACTCGGTCACTGTCCTGCCGAGCTCATAGCAGCAAATCTGAGACTAAGGAACAGGGCTATTGCAAGACATTTTGCTACCTAAGACAAAGGTCAAGATGTCACCCTCCCTAAAGACTCATGCAGAAGGCAATTGGGGTGGCAGTTGTCTCTTACTCCAGTTCTGGGGGGAACTCTCAAGGGAGACCCCCAGAGAAGGAAGGTTCAGAGCCAGGGGATTGGTGGTGGGACACAGAGGAGAGGTCAGAGGGAGAAGATTGGGAAGAGGGCTTGGATGTTTAAAGAGCGACAGGGTTTAGTGAGCAGGAAGAGCTGGTGACAGGGAGCAGTTCAGACTCCGAGGCAGAAGCAGAGGAGGGAGGTCAAGAAGCAACTGAAGAATCCCTCTTCTGCCCTATAAAATGCATTATTCAGAATACAGTGGTACCTCGGGTTACAGACGCTTCAGGTTACAGGCTATGCTAACTCAGAAATAGTACCTTGGGTTAAGAACTTTGCTTCAGGATGAGAACAGAAATCGCACAGCGGCGGGAGGCCCCATTAGCTAAAGTGGTACTTCAGGTTAAGAACAGTTTCAGGTTAAGAACGGACTTCCAGAATAAATTAAGTTCTTAACCCGAGGTACCACTGCAGTGGGTTGCACAACCCACTCAGGAAGATAACAACACAATAAAATTCAAAACAGTAGCAACTGATTACACATTTATGTAAAATCCAAGTAAAACTATCCCGTGTAATTAATTGAACAAATTTGTTGAATGTGATCTAGTGGTACCAACTTTACACTGCCATCACTCCCTGCCACCCCCAGGTAGTTCAACCCACGCGCCCCCCAAACACACACACACACACACACACACACACGCAACGGCAGTATTGCCCACTTAGAGAACTGCATCCAAGAGTATTAAAAGAACTGGCAGATGTGATCTCAGAACCACTGGAAGTCATCTTTGAGAATTCCTGGAGAACAGGCGAAGTCCCGGCAGACTGGAGGAGGGCAAATGTTGTCCCTATTTTCAAAAAGGGGAAAAGAGAGGACCCTAAAATTACCGCCCAGTCAGTCTGACATCAATACCAGGGAAGATTCTGGAGCAGATCATTAAGCAAACAGTCTGTGAGCACCTAGAAAGGAATGCTGTGATCACCAATAGTCAGCATGGATTTCTGAAAAATAAGTCATGTCAGACTAACCTGATCTCGTTTTTGACAGAATTACAAGCCTGGTAGATGAAGGGAATGCAGTGGATGTAGCCTACCTTGATTTCAGCAAGGCATTTGACAAGGTGCCCCATGATATTCTTGTAAAGAAGCTGGTAAAATGCGGTCTTGACTATGCTACCACTCAGTGGATTTGTAACTGGCTGACTGACCGAACCCAAGGGTGCTCATCAATGGTTCCTCTTCATCCTGGAGAACAGTGACTAGTGGGGTGCCACAGGGTTCTGTCTTGGGCCCGGTCTTATTCAACATCTTTATCAACGACTTGGATGATGGACTCAAGGGCATCCTGATCAAATTTGCAGATGACACCAAACTGGGAGGGGTGGCTAACACCCCAGAGGACAGGATCACACTTCAAAATGACCTTGACAGATTAGAGAACTGGGCAAAACAAAAAAGATGAACTTTAACAGGGAGAAATGTAAAGTATTGCACTTGGGCCAAAAAAATGAGAGGCACAAATACAAGATGGGTGACACCTGGCTTGAGAGCAGTACATGTGAAAAGGATCTAGGAGTCTTGGTTGACCACAAACTTGACATGAGCCAACAGTGTGACGCGGCAGCTAAAAAGCCAATGCAATTCTGGGCTGCATCAATAGGAGTATAGCATCTAGATCAAGGGAAGTAATAGTGCCACTGTATTCTGCTCTGGTCAGACCTCACCTGGAGTACTGTGTCCAGTTCTGGGCACCACAGTTCAAGAAGGACACTGACAAACTGGAACGTGTCCAGAGGAGGGCAACCAAAATGGTCAAAGGCCTGGAAACGATGCCTTATGAGGAACGGCTAAGCGAGCTGGGCATGTTTAGCCTGGAGAAGAGGAGGTTAAGGGGTGATATGATATCCATGTTCAAATATATAAAAGGATGTCACATAGAGGAGGGAGAAAGGTTGTTTTCTGCTGCTCCAGAGAAGCGGACACGGAGCAATGGATCCAAACTACAAGAAAGAAGATTCCACCTAAACATTAGGAAGAACTTCCTGACAGTAAGAGCTGTTCGACAGTGGAATTTGCTGCCAAGGAGTGTGGTGGAGTCTCCTTCTTTGGAGGTCTTTAAGCAGAGGCTTGACAACCATATGTCAGGAGTGCTCTGATGGTGTTTCCTGCTTGGCAGGGGGTTGGACTCGATGGCCCTTGTGGTCTCTTCCAACTCTATGATTCTATGATTCTATGATTCTAGAGAACCACTGCATTAAAGCATTCTGGAATTTTTAGTTTAGGAGGAGACGATGACTGGGAGAGTAACATGATGGAAATGTTTACGATTATAACCGGTGTGGAAAAAAGGATAATTTATATATTCTCCTTTTCTCCTAAAGAAGCAAGAGACAGGTTAAACTGCACGTAGAAGAGAACAGAAGAGTCATTCAGAACCTTCTGCTCCATGAAATTCATCAAATCCTTTTCTAAAGCCGCCTGACCCCGGTGACTGTCACCACGTCAAGAGGCAATCAATTGTCCAAGCTAATTATGCACATTTATCTCAACCTTTTATTTATCCTCCATTTGAGCGCCCGCCCCCGATCCTCACCCCTCCATTCTCCTCCTTGCTGCTCCCCCACTGTGGCAAACAGGACCGTCAAATGCTTGTGGCGCTGGAAGGTAAGAACGGCGTTTGATGAAACCCAGCTTCCATACGAGGCATGTGGAATTAAATTAAATTCCTGCCTGCGCAGATGGCGAGCAAAATCACAGCTAAAGTTCTTCCCAGGTCAGTCTAGGTGGAGCTGGGGGTCATGGTGGGAGAGAGTTAAGGAGTTTCTCCTTTATTTTTCCCCTGGGGGAAAAAAATACCTCCTGCACGCACCGAACAATAAAGAAAGTGAATTATTTCCTCTTCGCCCTTGCCAAGAAAGCCAGCCAGAAGCCCATTTCGTTCACACAGAGCAGAGCTCCGGTTTCACATCTTGAAATTTGTGAAAACACTTAAAGGGGAAAGAAGGGAAAGGGAGACTGCGTTTCTTCAAGGTACTGGAAGCCAGGCAGTGAGATTTCCTCCTGGCTCGCGGGCAGAAGGTTTTCCGCGTCCAAGGGCCTCTGCCAAGGGCAACAGAAAATTCATCACAACTTGACTTTTAATACGGCTTTCATGTCAGAGCTACACACAGCTTTTTCGGCCACTGGCAAGCCTCACTCAAATGTTCCAGGGCAGCAGGAACCTCCACAAATAAAGCATTTTCTCTGCCCCCAACACCTCTTCGGGTCTTGTTTTGCATTCAAAAATAAAACGTGGGAGTTTATAAATAGACACATGTTGGGATCAAACTCGCATCCTCCCCGACAAATTCCTTCAAGCACTCAGAGAGAGGCTGGTGTTTGATGCCCACAGTGCTTAGGTTCTCATACAGGCAACCACACACCCCCTTTACATGTGTTCAATATGCGCATGATTGCGCATATGCTCTGAACCCAGAAGTGACCCCCAAAAAGTCACAAAAAAAGGGGGTGGGACTGGGTGGGCTGGGCTGGGCTGGGCTGTAATGGAGTGTTGGCAGGGTTTTCCAATGGTGTTTCAGATACACGCGATTTCACTCAGAATTTTAACCCGCATAAATGGGGAGCTTCCTGTAGATCTGAAGACGACGCCTCCATTTTTGGTACAGCTATTCACAGGGAAAAGGGACAGGATCAAGGAATCGCAGAGTCATAGAACTGTTGTGATGATGATGATGATATGATGATGATGATGATGATAATAATAATAATATCCCGCCCTCCCCAGCCAAAGCCGGGCGCAGAGCAGCGAACAACAGTAAAAATAGCAATGTTTACATAAAATCACAGTCAGTTAATTGAAATACATTCTAAAATCAATTCATTCTAAAATCAATTCACAATCAAATTAATGGCAACCACTGGGCTAGAGTTCTATGAGGATTACAGAAGGAGAGAGGGGGTCAGGCTGTGCCTTGGCCAAAGGCCTGGTGGAACAGCTCCGTCTTGCAGGCCCTGCGGAAAGATGTCAAGTCCTGCAGGGCCCTAGTCTCTTGGGACAGAGCGTTCCACCAGATTGGGGCCACAGCCGAAAAAGCCCTGTCTCTGCAGCTTGGGAGACGCCGGTGGGTTACTAGACCCAGGGGCTGCCTCAGCCTCCCCTGACCAAACTGGTAGTGGAGCAGCTGTAAGTGATTGCCCAGCTGAGGGCAACATGGTAATCCCCACATCTGGAGCCAGGGCAGACTCAGGCCCCTGACTCAGCCCAGCTGGTGTTTGTTGCAGGGGAACCTGTGCAGACTGGGACTCTTCAGGATCAGGATCAGGCCCCAGACTCGGTTCAGGTGCCGCCTGAGGCAGAGGATCTGGTGCGAACTGAGGCTCCTCTGGCTCCGAGTCCGAGTGCCAGGCCATCTCATTATGTTTGTGATTGCTGAAACCAGAGAAGAAGGTTTGTTTCCGTGCTGTGCCAGGAGACCACCTGTAGCTAGACAAGATGTTCTGGGAAAGAATCAGAGGTGTGGCTGGTTTGAGGAGAAGCAGACGCTGCCAGATTCGGACATGAGCCATGGAAGGAGCATCCAGAAGAAACAAGGATGGAATCTGCAGAATGGACAGATGCCATTTCTCACCGGGCTTCCAGTATGTGAGACAATTTTATTCTTTCATGTGCTTATTTAGGTTCCCAGTCCAACTCCTCCGCCAACCTGATAGCGCAGGGTGGTGTCACCGTAGATTAAAGACATGGCAGAGAAAATAGCCAGTTGAACAAACCACCGGACTGACGCAGTGGGAGAGCCAGGAAGCTGAGCTCACTCCGCACGTGCCCCCAGGCCTCGCCTCCCCATAAGTCTTATCTGGGGCAGCCATTCCATCAGGCTGCCTCAAGGGGAGAAATGGAAGCAAAAGGTGCACCCCTTCAGCTTTCCAGCTCTATCTTGCACCCTCCTGCAACGCTGGTCTTTAAGAGAAACAACTGTCTGGAAATTGGTGCCTGAGTTTTGCTTTTCCTCTTCCCTCCCCATCCTGCTGACCTTGTGTGTTGTTGTTGTTTTAGATCACAATCCTGCCTTGTGTGCAAGCTTCTCTGGGGGCTTTCTTGGCTGAAGACAGGAGCACAAATGCTCTTAAATACAAGTAAATACATGCCTATCTATGTATTACGAGCAGTTTCATAGCTTGAAAAGTCTAAGAAACCAGAAAAACAGTGCATTTTTTTTAAAAAAGCCATGCTTAAAATCACTGCATCTTTGAAAGGTTCACTCTGCCATATTGATTCCGGTTGGCATCCAGTTGTGTCTGTGAACGGGAACCTAGATCTCAGGAACCAAAGTGCAGAATCTAGTTAAAAACAGTGCAGTTTTTTAAAAGGCTCAGTCCATCTTCTTGATTCAAAATGATGACCGGTTGCATCCAAACATGTACAAAAACCTGCTCCTTGATCTCAGGAACCTGATTATTATATCTTAAGAGGTGTCCGAATGCTTAGCAAATAAGAAACTTTCCAAAATATACAGAATACTAAAACATTTCTGAGAACACATACGGGTTATTCCACAGTGCCATGGACCTGCCAAGTGTCCCTATTTTCCAGGGACGGTCCCAGATTTATAGAAGCCGTCCCAGTTTCTGATTTGATCCCGGAATGTCCCATTTTTCGTTAGTTCATCCCTATTTTCATCAGTGAAATGTGGAAGAGTATGGAGTTATCTGACCTCCAAGCCATCTGAAGGCAGTCCTGTATACGGATTTTTTTTAAAAAATATATAATAATGTTTTATTATGTCTTTATATATGTTGGAAGCTGCCTAGAGTGGCTGGGGCAACCCAGTAAGATGGGTGGGA